AAAAATACATCTGGTACAAGAACTTAACGAAGACGATTTTGATAGGCGATTACAATTTTGTGAAATTATAACTAAACAAGCAATAAATGATCAGCAATTTCTTTTCATCGTATGTTTTTCTGACGAATACACTTTTTTCCAAAATGGTACGGCAAATCGTCACAACTGTCGTTATTGGTCCGATTCAAATTCCAGAATATTTCATAAAATGCATACGCAACATCCATAAAAACTGAACGTTTGGACTGGAATTTTTGGTAACCATATAATTGGCCCCTTTTTACCTGGAACTCTAACCTCAGAAATGTATCTGGAATTATTAGAAAACGACATTTATCTAGCACTACTAGAGTTGATTGAGAATGACGATCAGTATAAAGCAAACAACTTAATATTCCAGCAAGATATTGCACCACCCCATTTTGCACTGACTGTTCGTCAGTATTTGGATCAAACGTTTCCAGGTCAATGGATTGGAAGAAGAGGAAGTATTGAGTGGCCCCACGGTCTCCGAAACTAACCCCGTTAGATTTTTTATGATACCACTTAAAACCTATAATTTATGCCACCCAGCCAACAGCACTGGAAAATCTGCGACAACGGATAATTGATGACACTAGCGATTTAAAACTCGGCTGTTATATTCCAGGTGAAAATACCTTCAACATAAGATTTTAGGGGGTAAGTTTCATCCTCGCTAAAGGGTTTCCGTTCAGGGGGTGAAATTGGCAAAAAATGTCCCCCTAAAACTAAAAACTGAGGGGTCCGAGCGTTTTTTTGTAAATGACCTGGGGTTTTCAAAATTGCCTCTATTTCGCTTTTAAAAGGCCACCCTGTATATATACTCCATTATATGTATATTAATAAATCATCAAAAATATTCTAAATTCATGATAGTTAATAAAATATTTTATATGGTGTTTCTAGTTATTTCATTGGTACTCTAGCATCGCAGCGCCACTGAATACCAGTGATGGCAGTACCAAGCATAGGGTTGCCAGATGCCAGATATCCCTATTTTGGTGGGAGCATCCAGCATATCGATTGTTGATACTTCCGTCTGCCGCTTCAATCATCAAAACTCCAGCAATTATTAGTCAACACCTTTTTTTTTTCAAAAAATTTTTCATAAAATGAACGCCTTAAAATGGCTTTTAAGGTGCTTTTAAAAAACCGGTGGTGACCTTAAGTATTGTGTAAAGGGATAGAGCTACCATTTCCCGCCTAGCGGCCGAGCACTCAAAGCAATTTTTGGTTTCCGGCGCCTATGAGCATAATTATCCGATTTCCTTGAATCCAAAAATATTTTTAAAGTATCTCTGTAACGGGTGCGTATAAAAAAAAATAAAAGAACTTGTCACGTTACTTTTGTGTTATATCTAAATTCAGAAGAGTGCCTACATATTCTTGGACATCCTGTATAACTGAAAGTATAAAAAAATGTGACAAAGAAAAATAACTATTAAAACAATGTTTCAGAAAAAAAATACGGCATGGGAAGGAGGTAACAGAAATCTAGCAGCAATATGGAGTCCCCTCATTCAAAAACCTCAAAGAGTTTCCAATCATTTGATACATGTCACCGACTGGTTACCAACATTCTACTCCATAGCTGGTAAAAATATTTTGACTGCCAAGAACGTTAATAAAATTAACACAATTACTTTTAGGTTTAAATAAAACGCAAATTCCAAATATCGATGGCCTTGATATGTGGGAATCAATTTCCAAAGACAAAGAGAGTCCAAGAACAGAAATGGTCTACAATATCGATACTATTAGGAAGTGGGGAGCAATCAGACAAGGTGATTGGAAATATATATACGGCTCTACACGTACAAAAAAGAATTCGTGGTTTGGAAATGACGGCAAAAAAAAGGAATATTCTTACGACGTCGACCAAATATTAACTTCAAAAACAGCGACAGCCTTCGCTGGGCTAATAGCCGACCAACAGATTAATGATAAGAACTCAAACAGGAGAAAGAGAAGAGAACTTAAAATAATCGATAAAAATGATATTGAAACGTTAAGAACGCAAGCCACAGTTACTTGCGGGCCGTTTAATTTTGAAGATCAACAAGAAGAGAATAAATGTAATCTTCAACTTCCGTGTTTATTTAACATAAAGCAAGACCCTTGCGAAAGAGTAAATCTAGCTAAATCTAGACCGAACATCGTGAGAAAACTAAAAAAACTTCTTCTGGATTACAGCAAAAACATACTACCTGCCCTAAATAAAGATCGAGACCCCAGGGCGAATCCTATAAACTGGAATAACACTTGGTCCAGTTGGCTAGATTCCGATTATGTTGCTAGAAGTAAACTACCAAACAGTTTTAAGACTACTTCGGCGATGAATATCATTATAATTGTAGTTTCCTCTATAACGATACTTTTTATTGGATTTCGTTTATCTTCTAAACTATCTGATACCAAAGCGAAAAAGAGAGAACAGAAACAAAAAGATAAAACGTTCTTAAGCAATAATAGTGTTTAGTATATATATTTTTATATTTTTATCGGAAGACATATTGCAGTTGTATGGTTTTTGAAACACCCTATATTTGATAGTGTATTTTGAGGTGAGTCGAAAAATGATCGAAAGACAAAAGGTCGAAATGAAAAATGATTAAATCGAATTGATCAAAATTATAAATAGTCAAAAGTACAAATGCTCAAAAATATAATTGCTCGAAATTAAAAATTGTCGAAATTTCAATTGGTCGAAAATTTAAATGATCGAAATTACAATTAGCCGAACGTAAAAAAGATCGAAAAGTACAATCATTTGGTCGCAAAACAAATTTATACATAAAACGAAAGAAGTAAAAGAAAATTTAACAAATTTGCCAAACTTGTGCGGCCTGGAGCTATTTAACTTTTACTGGTTGGGATATTCAGTTTTGTATATTATGTAAACATTTTTTGCGAAATATCCCGCATAACTTCAGGTCGCACATGTTAGGTGAAATAGTAAAAAGAACGCTGTTTTAATCAGGTCTTAGTTTGCTGGACCATATTTCAATATGCAGCGCTATTTTAATAAACGCTATTTAAATTTATTGCTTTCGATCTTATTCCATTTCGATAATATAATATTTCGATCATTAGTACTTTCGATCATTTGTACTTTTGAGGTTTGTTCCAACACGCGCGAAAACCGTAATATTACCGTACAAATCGTGCGCTCTGCCCAAAAATTGTATACAGCGCATGATTTGTACGGTAATATTACGGTTTTCGGGCATGTTGGAACGGACCGTTGGATCATTTATACCTTCGATCATATCTGATTTCGATAATTTGTAATTTCGATCGTATGCGATTTCGATCATTTATTCTACTTTTAATCTTTATTGGTTTCGATATTTTGTCACTTTCGATCATTTATCCGCTCACCGCCTTTTGATTCCATGGAAAAAATAAAGTAAAATGTCTTTAATGTTTCCTTTGCCTGTCGTTTTGGTTTTTTAAAATTAATAAAGGATTCTTAAATTGTAAGCTGGAACAACATAATATAGTAATACGAGTATCGTGGTTATTTGAATTGACCATTCTTTATTGAGCCATATGTGAGTCGTAGGGACTGAGTTCAAAGGTAAAAAATAAAGCAAAAGGTCCTTTATATCTTACAAAGTCGGCTTATCTGAATGGTTAGTAATTAAGTAGTATTGTAAAGTGAAAGTATTTAATACAGAAAATAAAAATTGATCAAAAAACAAGGTTAATAATAATTTAACTTACCATGACATATCCATTACGGATTAGCTACACAGGTTAATATAAAAAGTACCTATTAGGTAAATAATTTTTGTTTACAATAGTAAAAGGAGAACATTACAAATATCATTTTGTTTATACAATATAATGCAGATCAAAGATGTCCAAGTGAATAACAAATCTTTTTACAAATGTACCGATGCCAGAAGTTTTAGATTACACTTGCTTAATTCTAATTTACCAGATACCGTTCTAGTTGAATTTATAAACTTACTCACAATAATTCTAAAACAAAGTTTTTTCTCTTTCACCAATGCGTAATTTCGAGAAGCTTAATATCCTGAATAACAATTAATTTTAGCTATTAAATTTTATGACAGATATGTAGATAACATTGATACTATGGACTGGTATTAGGAAGTTAAACAACTTCCTAAATTTTATTAATAACATTCATCAAAATATAAAATTTATCTTAGAAAAAGGAAACAACAAATCTACCGGGTGTTCAAATTAAAGTGTTACAGTTAAATACCGCCGAAAATATGCATTTTAGAAAAAAAAGTTTCAGACAAAAGTTTTATAGTTTTTTGGGGGAAACATTTTGGCTAAATTCATTTTTTTATAGCTGACCATAATATGGCCATATCGAGGTGAACTTTGTTTTTTTAAATGGGAACACCATTTTTCTTACATATTCTTAAAGTACATAAAAAAATAAGAAACTTTTGAGGGAAATATTTTTTTATTGGACTTTAACTTTTTGAGTAACAGCTACTTGAAAATGTTGCGGCGCGAAAAAAAAAGTTGGCCATATTATGGTTAGCTATAAAAAACGATTTTAGCCAAAAGTTTTTCCCTACAAAACTATACAACTTTCGTCTGAAACGCGGTATATAGCTGTAACGCTTTAATTTAGAACACCCGGTATAAACTCTCTTGACTATTTCTGTTTCCAATTATCAGAGGTTTGAATTTAACATCTTTAGAAAATCTACACTTACAGGTGTTGTTATAGATAATTTATCTGATGATTCAGTTTCAAATAAGTTAGCGGCATTCAACTGTTATTTACAACGTCAATTTAAAGTTCCATTGTCTTTGGATAATTTCCATAAGGAACTCAATACCATTAAACAAATTTCTAGTAGCCATAAAATTATAATCATAACTTTATCAATATTAGGCTTCACATAAAACAGAATAAATACAGAATAATTATTATATTAACTAAAGAAGGGTATCCATTTCCTCAAATCTTATATAGTACCAAAAAAGTAACAAAAAAATATCTCACACATTTTACACATTTTATATGGGATTGATTTTGTGTTCTCTGGTACTAAATAATTAAATTATTGTCCCTCCATACTTGACTAAACCAAACAACTGTCTTTATAACTTACCTTTATAAGTACACTGAAATAAATTTGGTGCCTACAATTAAAAAAAACCTTGATAATAACTGTAAGTTTCACAACATAATGATTGTAAATATAACTTACAGTGATTTTTACTGTAAAAAGGATTCGATTGTTCTTAAAAGTACAAACTTTTTGCTAAAACTACTGTTAATGTAAAAATACGAATTTATTTGAGGTATACCTAATTTACTTGCATTTTTACAGTTTTTTGAGATCGAAGGTGAAATCAAAGAACCTATTACACTATTTTGGTACGTTTTAACCTTGTAATTTTACAAGAGATATGTAAAATTAGATGATGGTAGTCTCATTACCATGTAATCTTAAATGATAAAAGTGTTTTTATAATAACCTCGTGAAAATTCAAAGATATAGGTTAACTCACAAGTTCGCTTTATATTTGTAATCTAACAATAATTCTGTAAAATTACATTATTGCTGTAATTAATAGAAAATAAACGTTTACAATAATTTTGTCAAAATAAAAGTATATAGGTTAATTTACAAATATTTTGTAGTTATGCAATATTTTTAAATCCGTTTTACACATGCAATTTTACACACCATCTGTGAATTGACATTGCCTTGTAAAAATACGTATAGATCCTGTTATTCACACATATAATGCAGAATTAAGTATACTTACACCGTTTTAGCATCTCAATTTCACAAGAGCCCCACACTTCGCGCATCTTTAGCCTTGTATATTATGAATAGTGGAGGGAAGCATACAAAAGGTGGGAATTTTTAGAGAGGGTATATGGTAGCGTTCATATCCAAATTAAATCAGTTTAAAATCGTGAGTTTTAAGATAGTTTAGAAGTTCTATTACCTAATATCGAAATAATCGTAAAAATAATAGACATACATGAGTAATTGTGGTTTAACATTCACAAGGATAGATAATTTATATCGACATCAAAATAAAAAAATTGTGAGATGATATTTAATCGCACTTGTGAATCATCCAGAGGAACGAAAAGATGCGCGACTTCCAGCCCTGATGTTCTACCAGTAAAAAATGTCCGGGTAGTGCGAGTTCTACACACCGTAGACTCACAAAGGCATAATGGGAGATGTGAATCATGTGATGTAGACATCCCTACCAATCAGATGTAATCGCACATGAGTAGTCTTGACCATAAAGAAAAAGGCTGCACAATTCAGGCCGATGATATATATTTAATTCAGAGTGCGTTTTAGTGCAGAATCGCAAGTTACAGAGTCAAAAGTGATGAAAAACATATAAATTATATAATATTTATGATGCGATAAAATTTAGAACATTGGAATTGTTAAAAATTGTTCTGAAGGCCCATAATGCCATTAAAGTGAAGGTAGAGGTCTTCGCTACTTACGTTTTGCAGATCCAAGATATTTCCGAAATTAAATCTTTTAACAGCATAAATCGAATACTAGATTTGTCGACAGAGTTGGATGCCGTATATGCAGACTTTAAGGACGGCGCGGTATCTCAAACTGCAGACTTTAAACATAAGGATTCAGGTATATTAGTTTTTTAATGCATAATATAGTGTTAACTAATAAAGTATTCATTGTTTTAGGGTGGTCATTATGGGCAGTACTATTTTTAGAATTAAACATAAATAAGTACTCTCCAGTAGGCGGCTGATCGTACATAAAGCTCCTCAAGTTTATTGAAACCAAGAAGGGCGTAGTTAATGTGCAAAATAATGATGCGTATTGTTTTGCTTAGGCCATCACATCGGCACTATATTCAGCGAGAGATCATGTTAGCCAAACATCATCGTATCCACACTTCAAAACCGTTCTGAATGTTGCGGGTATTGAATTTGCCATGAAGCTTAAAGATATTTCAAAATTTGAAGACTTAAATAATATAAATAATATACGTATTATTGTTTATGGCTTAGAACGTAGTTATGAAAATGGTAAGGTGAAACTTGAAATAGTTGACCCATTACGATATTCCCGTAGAAGGTTAGGTCATCATATAAATGTACCACTAATAACGGAGGATTCGGATAATAGTCACTACTGTCGGATTAAAAGTCTTTCAGATTAGTGTCGAGTCAAATAACTAGAAATAGTCATAACATTTTTTTTTGTGATGGATGTTTACTTTATTTTCCATTTGATTTAATTTTTTTTGTAATTTTCTTGTATTTCTGCGACTTTCTTTCTTCTATATATTTTTTCCGTCTGTATCGTTCCCTGTTTGTAGGTATTTTTCTCTCAGTTTGTGTTTTTTTAATTTCTTCATCGCATTCGTTATCTAACCATTCTTTTCTTTTCTGCGTTTTTTGTTATTATTATTTTTCTCAAAATAAATAATAATAAATAAAAATTTTCAATTTAAAGTCATTTTTAT